GGTTTTTGATAAGTACTGCTTAGCATTTTAAGAAATTTTCCATTTATTCCTATGCTTTATATTATTTTTAATAGGAATTGGTGTTTTGTCAAAAATTATTTTGTCTAAAACTTTTTTTTTGCATCTGTTGATACAATGATGTGATTTTTGATGTTTTTATTGTTGATGTGATCACCTTTATGGTTTTCCTAATATTGAATGAGCCCTGCATTCCTGGCATAAATGTAGCCTTTTCATAGTGTATGATCTTTGTGATACATTGCTGTAATCATCTCGCCAGTATTTTACTTAAAATTTTTACAGGAATATTCATTAGGAAAATTAGTCTATATTTTCTTTCAGCTTTTTAACTCCCTGGTTTAAGTACCAAAACCATGGTTGTATCATAGAAGAAATTTGACAAGACTATTTTAAAACAATTAACATACATAGGAATTGTTCTTTAAACATTTGCTAGAATTCACTTGTAAATCCATCTAGTACTGGGGTTCTTTCCTTAGGGAGCTACTTTATGACTTGTTTAATTTTTCTTTCCTAATATAACTATTTAAAATACTCTATTTCCTCTCCTATTAATCTGAGCAATTTCTGTTTTGTTTTGTTTTTTTCATTTAGACTGTAAGTTAAATTGGCATGTAACTCCTAATGCTTTAATTTCATCTTCATTGGTTGTATTTCACATTTCATTTTTTTGATGAGTAATTTGGTTCCTCTATTTTAAATCAAATTAGCCAATTTTTGTTTTATAATTTTTATTATTACAATGCTTTTTTTTTGCTTTCAATTTTATTAATCCCTCTTTTGATTCTGTCTTGGTGTTTAATTGGAGATTTTTCATTTGTTGCTTTTAGAATTTTTTTTCTTGCAAACCCAATTCATTGAACTGTTCTTTCTATCTTCTATTGAAATAAATGTTCAGAGACATAAATTTTCCCCTAAGTACTGCTTTGATTATATCCTACAAATTTTGATATATTGTCTCACTGTCATTATCTTCCACGAAACTATTGCTTTTATGTCTTGTTCTTGGATCAACTCATTCATTGGGATTAGATTATTTAATTTCTACTTAATTTTAAATTTAGGCTTCCAAGGCCCTTTACTGGATATGATTTTTGCCTTATCATTCCCCCAAAATGTACTTTATATTTATGCTTGTCTGCATTTGTTGTACATTTTTCTGCCCTAATACATGCTCATTTTTTGTTAAGATGCTAGGTATAGCTGAGAAGTCAATATACTCCATTCTATTCTTATTCAAATTTCTCCAGAAGTCTGTCATATCTAGCTTTTCCAAAATTCATTTACTTAATTCTTTTTTATTTTAGTCAGATTTATTCAGACCTGAAAGAAGTAAAATGATATGCCTCACTAGTTTTGCTGTTTATATTTGCTACTGTAACTCATTTAACTTTTCCTTCAAGAATTTGGAAGCTCTGCCATTTGGTGCATGTTCAATAGTGACAATTAATTCATTGTCTATGCTACCTTTCAGCAAGATGTATTTTCCTTCATTATCTTTTTAAATGATGGCTATTTTTGCTTTGTCTGAGATCATGATTGCAATTTCTTTCTTTTTCACTCTAGCTGAAGCAAAATAAATTCTTCTCCCATCTGCTATTTTGACCCTATGAACATCTATTTGAAGGGTCTCTCTTATAAACAATATAATGTTGGATTCTGGTTTCTCATCTATCCTGCTATCTATTTTCTTCCATGTTATGGGTGAATTCATCACCCATTTACAGTTGTAATCGCTAACTGTGCATGTCCCTCCACCTTATTCTCTTGTATTTATCTGTCACCTTTTTACCCTGTTCCCTTCTCACAAAGCCTGTTCTGCTTCTGATCTTTAACCCTAATTTACCTGAACATAATACACTCTCTTATCCCTGCTTTCTTTTAGCCCCTTTGCCTCCCATTTACCCAACTGTGGGTACATGTACACACAGACACAGACACACAGACACACACATACATATGTACATTTCTCACTTTGAAGCAGTTCAGTTTTCCCACCATTGTAAAAATTCTTCCTTGCACACCTCTTTCATATGAGAAAATTTTCCCTATTCTTTCTCTCCCTTCTGCTCTCTCCCACTGCATCCCTCTTTCTCACTCTTCCATTCTTCTTTTGAGATCCCAGCACTTAGATCCCTGTAAGTAGTCTCCTAACTATTTTATGATCATAAAGGTCTTAGGGGATACGTGTATCATCTTCCCACATGATAATGTAAACACTTTAATCTTTTCAAGTCCTTTACATTTTCTCACTCATGTTTACCTTTCTTATGCTTCTCTTGAGTTTGTTTTCAAATGTCAAATTTCCTGTTTAGCTCTAGACTCTTTGGGAAAGCATAAAAGTTTTCTAAATATCTATCTATTTCTAAACATCTATTTCCCCCCATAGGATTATACTGAGTTTTGCTGGGTAGTTTATTCTCAGTTTTAATCCTACCTCTTTTTTTCCTTCTGGAATATCACATTCCAAACTTAACAGTCCTTAAAAGTAATGGATGCTAAATCTTATATGATTTCCAATTGTAGCTGGATGGTATTTGAATTCTGGCTTTCTGGTTACTTGCAGTACTTTCTCCTTGACCTAAGAATTCTGGATTTTATTTAGAATATTCCTGGGAGTTTTCATTTTGAGATTCCTTTCAGGAAATGATCAGTAGATCTTTGAATTTCTACTTTGCCCTCAAATTGTAAGATATCTGAGCAGTTTTCCTTTATAATTTCTTGAAATATTATGTCTAAGCTCTTTTTTTTATACCATGGCTTTCAGATAATTTTCAATAACATATTTCTATAATATAATAATTTACAATTTATTTATTTATAATATAATAATTTATAATCCAATAACTTTTTAAAAAAATCTCTCCATTACTTCAATTCATGTTTTCTTCTATTTTTTAGTTTCTGAATTTTTTATTGTTTTTTGATATCTCGTGGAATTCTTTGCTTCTACTTGACCACTTCTAATATTCTTTTGCTTTTTTTTTTTTGGTGAGGCAATCGGGGTTAAATGACTTGCCCAGGGCCACACAGCTAGTAAGTGTCAATTAAGTGTCAAGTGTCTGAGGCCAGATTTGAACTCAGGTCCTCCTGACTCCAAGGCTGGAGCTCTATCCACTGCCCCCCAATACTAATTTTTAAGGAGTTATTTTCTTAAGTGAAGTATTGTATCTCTCTTACCATTTGGCCAATTCTTATTTTTAAGGAATTTTTTCCAGTATTTTTTGTGCTTCTTTTACTAAGCTGCTTATTCTGCTGCCATAATTTTCTTCCATTGTTTTTATTTCTTTTCCCAATTTTTCCTCTACCATTCTTATTTGATTTTTAAAATCTTCATTTGTTCCTTTCTTCAGTTTTTCCAAAAGTTCTTGTTGGATCATGTCCAATATGCATTTTTCTTTGAGGCTTTGCTTCTAGATGTTTTCAGGTCATTGTTACCTTCTGTATTTTGGTCTCAAGCTTCCCTGTCACCATAGTAGCTACTTATTGTCAGGGGGTTTTATTATTATTATTATTATTTTTATTATTTGCTCATTCTTCCAGCCCATTTCTTGACTTTTCTCTTCATGCTAGGGTTGGGTTCTGCTCACCACTGGGGTGGATGTTTGGCCTGAGCTTCTATCTTTTAAGCTCTGCTGCTTTTGCTGTTAGGGTTATGAGCTTGTGGTATGTATGAGTTTTTAGTGCTTCCAAAATAGTGTGATTCAGGAAAAGGTTGGATCACTGCTCTCTTGGTCTGTGCTCAGGTCCTTACACAGAGAGAGCCTCTGGTCTCTTGCAACCTTGACTGTACCTCTCCAACCTGAAACTCTGACCATGAACTGGTTAATGGGTGACAGGGCTGCCAAATGTTTCTTGATCCTGTGCCCAATACTAGCACAGCAGTGCCCTGGCATCTCTTTCTGACCAAGTATACAGTCCTCTTACCACCCCAGCGCTTCTGCCTCTGTTGCTGTTGCCTCCAAAGTCCAAAGCTAATGTCAATTCCAGTGCATCATGCACCCAGTCAGGTCCCACTTCAGTGTACACACACCTTTCTTTATGACTTCCTAAGACACCCTGGGCTACAAAAATGATTCACTGAGATTTTTGTTCTCTCTTTTGCTCATTATTTGTTTTAAATGCATTTGTTGTTTAAGTTGTTAAAGATAGGTGTATCGCAAGATCTAGGCAAGCACACTGGTCTCGGTCCACTATCTTGTCTCTAGCCTCCATTTGTTTTTTAATAGTCTGCAACTGATCTGCTCAATTTCTCAGGATTTGTATTTATAAGTACTTCAAAATTGTTTGTGCTGTAGTTTCAGCTTTGGTCCTGCTAGGCCTCCATCCCAGAATACTGAAAGAGACTATGGAAAGAGACAATGAATACACGTTTCATGGGAACACAGTTAGATTTGGAAAGGACCATAGAAGCCACTGAGGTCAACGTCTTCACTTTAGAGATAAGTAAATTGAGGCACAGAGAGATTGCTCCTTGCCCAGAGTTACAAAGCTAGAGAGCATGAGGAAAGATCTGAACCCAAGTCTTCCTGACTCTAACCCAAAAGCCTTCTCATTACAACATACTTCCTTCTTCTACACTTTTTTGAATATCAATTTGATTAGAGAAGTGACGAAACCGTTCATATCTTTGAGACAATGACTCTACCATGAGACTCATGACCCAAGGAATAATAACAATAAGAATAATTCATAAATAATAATACCTAGCATTTAAATAGTGATTTAATGCTTACAAAACACTTTACAGGAATCATCTCATTCTGTCCTCACATTAACCCTAACAGGTAGATTTTATTAGTGTATATATTCTACTGATGGGGAAAACTGAGGCAGTAAAAGATTAAATAATCTGCCCAGAGTCACACAGATAGTAAGTGTCAGAGACTGGATTTGAACTCAGGTCTTGTGGCTCCAGAAGCGGTACTCTATCCACTGTGCCACCTACCATCCTAAAGAAATCATCACAGGAATAAGCATTCAATGCTTAATAAAATATTTATACCATAATTTTTGTTTCAACAAAGAATAGGAAACAGGTGAATATCAATCAATTGGGGAATGGCTGGTAGGTACAGTTATGGTACATGAATGCTATGGACTATTATTGAGGATTACTGGAAAACAATAGCATTTCAGGGAAAAAATCATTACATTTATAGGGCTCAATGAACAGTATGAAATTTGGGTTTGTCTAATTATGTGTGTGCTGAAGCAAGAGGTCTTCCCCTTGTTAATTAGATCCATGTTTTTACCTTCAGTATAATTTCTCCAAAGTATAGCCAAGCTGGAGCTCCACGTAAAGGATTTCCCACAATTATTGCTTTTATTAGACTTCTTTCCAGTGTGAATATAATGATGTCTAGGGACTTCCTTCTTCCAGCAAAAGGCATGTCCACATTGAGCACATCATAAGGTTTCCACTATAATTCTCCAGTGCAAAATAAGAGATGATCTCTGACTGAAGGTTTTCCCACATTAGGTTCATATTTAGCTTGTGCCCAGAATGAATTTTCTGATGTCTAACAAGTTCGGTAATCCATATGAATGTCTTTCCTCATTCATTAGAGTAATAAAATTTCTACCTAGTATGACTTCTCAGATGGGAAAGAAAGGACTGTTGCTAGGATGACATTCATAAGGTTTCTCTCCAGTGTGGATTCTCTGATATACAATAAAAGATGAGTGGTCTCTAAAAGATTTGCCACATTCATGACATTTATGAAGCTCCTCTCCAGTGTGGATTCTCTGATGCAGAGCAAGACTGGAGCTGTGTCTAAAAGTCTTTTCAAATAGATTACAGTCATAACATTTCTCCAGTGTGGATTCTCTCATGGTCAACAAGACTGGAGCTGCATCTGAAAGTCTTTCCACGATGATTACATTCATAAGCTTTTTCTCTAGCGTGGATCCTCTGATGTTCAGCAACATTGGAGCTCTCTTTCTCTCTCTCTGAAAGTTTTTCCACATTGAAAATATTCTTATGATTTCTCTCCAGTGTGGATTCTCTGATGTTTAGCAAGACCTGACCTGCCTCTGAAAGTCTTACCACATTGATTACAGTCATAAGGCTTCTCTCCAGTGTGGATTATTTGATGATCAGCAAGACTAGAACTGCATCTGAAAGGCTTTCCACACTGATGACATTCATAAGGCTTCTCTCCAGTGTGGATTCTCTGATGTATAGCAAGACCAGAGCTCCTTCTGAAAGCCTTTCCACATTGATTACACTCATAACGTTTTTCTCCAGTATGGACTCTCCGATGGATAGCAAGAATGGAGCTGCATCTGAAAGTCTTTCCACACTGATTACATTCATAAGGTTTCTCTCCAGAGTGGATTCTCTCATGTTCCAAAAGATTATAGTGCTGTCGGAAAGTCTTTCCACATTGATTACATTCATAAGGTTTCTCTCCAGTATGAGTTTTCTGATGCACAGCCAGATTGGAACTTCTTCCAAAAGTCTTTCCACATTGATTACATTTATAAGGTTTCTCTCCAGTATGGATTCTCTGATGTTTACCAAGACTAGAACTGCATCTGAAAGCCTTTCCACATTGACTGCATTCATAAGGTTTCTCTCCAGTGTGGATTCTCTGATGTTTAGTAAGATTAGAACTGCAACTGAAAGTCTTTCTACATTGATTACACTCATAATGTTTCTCCACATTGTACATTCTCTGATGATGAGTAAGATGCAAACGCTGTCTGAAAGTCTTTTCACATTGATTACATTCATAAGGTTTCTCTCCATTGTGGCTTCTCTGATGTACAATAAGGGATGAGTTTTCACTGAGAGCTTTACCACCCTTATGATACTCATGAGGTTTCACTCTAGTATGAATACTCTGGTGGGAAATAAGGGATGACTGTCGCCTGAAGGCCTTTTCACATTGCATACATTTATGTAGCTTTTCATTAGTATGAAATTTCTGATGGTGAACAAGGGATGACTGCCGCTTGAAGGCTTTACCACATTCCTTACATCCATAATATTTTTTTCCATTTTGAATTCTCTGGTTGTTGATGAGCTTTGAATTACAACTAAAGGTTTTATCACTCTCATTACATATATAAAGCATTTCTCCAGTGTGACTTTTCTGATGTCTAATTAGGTCTGAATTCAAGCTGAAGGCCATCCCACATTGATTACATTGATAAGTCTGCACTTCAGAAAGCTTCTCAGGAGCCTCAACAAGGCCCACCTGTTCAGTAAAGCATTTCCTACTTTTACTATCCCACAAACAGCCATTCCCTGAGGTCCTCTCCATACAGCGAATTAGGACTGAACATTGCCTAAAACTCTTTCCATCTTTATCAAATTCGCAGTGACTCTTTTGTTTTTTCTCTTTCTTGATATCAGAGTTACAGATTTCCTTCAAATTGAGGTTGCAGTGACCATGATTACTGAATCTCTGCTGTTGGGATTCATCCACAGAAATGCTCAGCTTGACAGTAGTATCCTTCATTTCAAGCCTCGTCTCTCCATCTGAAGAAAAAAAGCAAACGTGTGTGTGTGTGTGTGTGTGTGTGTGTATACACACAACTGGACACACAAATATATACACAAATCTATACTCTTCTCTCCACTGGCATAAAGTTAACTGATTTATTATCTATTGCCCAGGGAAAGAGAAGAGTCTTTGAACTTAAATGGGGAGAATTAATCATTTGAAAATGCCATTATCTCACATCCCCAGGATGTACAAAGAGCTTCACATACAACAACACTGGATCCTCACAACAAACCTGAGACACAGGCAAGCCCAGCATTCTCATTACATTCACAACTCGGGCCAGGAGCTCGGATGGCTGAGTGACCTGACCAACATCACTCAAACTCTATGACTGGGTGTGTTCTGTCCTCAGTGTTAGATGGCCTTTCTCTACTGCACTTCTTTTTTTTAAAGAAAAAACATTTTATTATTGCATATTCCCTTGTTTGTATTTGCAAGTGTGTGTGCAGTTTCAACAAGTGTCCAGTGAGACACTTGGCATGTCTTTAATATCATTTTAGAGACATTGCTGCACAAGTATGAGTTATTCCCAAATGAATACTATGAGAAATGTACTGTAAAAATTAATTTGAGTTCGTTATTTTTGAAATGCATAAATTGAAATGCTATAGTTGCTAAGTACCAGGATTCAGCACTTAAACAATCAGTTCCATCTCAGTCTTTTGGAGGTTATTTTCCCTCTTAATGATAGTATGTACCTCAATGTCACTGTCCTTCAGTGGCTGTGTCAGCATATTTAGGGGGATTCACAGAGGTTAACATTATGGTTCACTGACATTTGGTCTAAGGATACATTTAAGTGGAGAAGTCTAAGATCTTTGCCTGAGCCTCTGATAAGGCACACAGCTCCTAAGAACCAGTGGCAGGATTTGAATATCCATCTTCCAAATGTGTCCCGTACTCTGCACAGTCAGAAAAGCTACCTAAGGTTGGAGGATGCAGTCTAGTCATAGCTACAGAGACTGCAGATCTGGTGAGCTGCTCGGACTGCCAGATGGATCCCTGGCTACCGACGAGTCTTGGATCCTATTTATTGGTGATTGCCAGCCTTGTTGATAAATTGATCGTGCTCAGACCTTTGTGTCTCAGCTTCTCTTTACTACAGATTTTTATCATGACAGGTGTACCATTTGTGGCACATATAGTAAGTATTTATATTATTCCATTACCATAACATCTACGTGAACATAGTTCAATTTCCCTGATGATCCTTTTCCTCTTATCCTTACTTTTTCTTTCCTCATGTCTAAGACCACATCATGACTGCCAACCTTGGTTTTTGTATTCACTTGAAGCACACTTCTGTTCTTGCCCATCACTTTTTTTTTGTTTGTTTTGTTTTGGTTTGGTTTAGTGAGGCAATTGGGGTTAAGTGACTTTCCCAGAGTCACACAGAGAGGAAGTATTATGTGTCTCAGTCCTCCTGACTCCAGGGCCAGTGCTCTATCCACTGTGCCACCTAGCTGCACCTGCCCATCACTTTTTTAGGATAGCCATTATCTATTTTTTTTAAATGTATCTTTGAATTTTCTACTTCCTAATTAAAAAAAGAAAAACCAAAATCCTCAGAATAAACATGATAAAAAAAAAATCTATCCATTTCCAATGTCCAAAAATATTATCTTATGATAGACTTTGAGTCTATCACCCTTCTGTCAGCAAGTGCACAGCATGCTTCACTGTTAGTCCTATAGGAGCCCTTCCTATTTTGTGATTGACAAACCCTTTTGGGATTCACAATAATGGTCTAAGCTGCAGTTTGAGCTAAAAATTCTTTAATGAAACACTGAGCAGAAAATAAACGCTCAATTTTGTTGTAAATATTTTTAAATAAATGTAAAGATATAAATTCTCCTCTGGAACAACAAACATGTACACGTTTCAAGCTTAATGGTTTTCCTTTTCCAGTGACTCCAAACTGTGCTGATCAAGCCTACGATGTTTTTCAAGTTCAGGCAGTGATTACATCAAACTCTGACCACTTCTGATTAGGCACAACATTTCCTCTAGTTTTTTCAACCTGACATCAAATTGTTTCCCAACAGGCAGAAAGGTTTGAAATGTGCATGGAACTCAATTCCCAGTAGACGGCCAGAAGTGTACACTTCTGGTCATTTGCTTTCTGTCACTGTACCAGAGTAGTTCCTTCATTCCCAGGTGACTTTGTAAGGACATGTCATCAGCAGAGTAATCACCAGATCATGAAGTTACAAGTATTTGCCTAAATGGCAGGCTCTTTGAAAACCACGAACACCTTACAAGTCATCTTGAAATTATCATGGACCATCACAATTCTTCTACAAAAAGAGTCTGTATAGTGCTGTTTTCTGATTTGAACTTACCTTCCACTTGTGCTACTATTCTTCAGCCTAGCAGACAGATTTTCAAATGAATTGGTAAGCAACATCAGTCAGTCATTCAGAAGACTTTTTGTGAGAGTATAGCCAGTGTGCCAATGGTAGAAAGAAGAAAGTTATATCTCACAAGACTCTTTCCTTAGATTCTTTGAGATATACATATATATATATGAACATTGTTTTTTTTAAAAAAAACAAAACAATATGTACAATTGACCTTCACATACACTTATTTAATACACCACTTGTCATTAGCCAATAGAAAAATAAATCTTTTCTATAGTACCTAGTAATTCACATTGTGTATTTTGTTGGCTATATAGGGAACTAAAAACACAAAGCTCTCAACTCTCAGCAAGATGACTTGTAAAATTCTCCTCCCATTTCCCACCTCATCCATGGATGAGAAAACATTTTCACTGTCTTCTGCTTATCAATCAAAACACAGCTGGGGGTGCCACAGATAGAGAGCTGGGCCTGGAGTCAAGAAGACCTGCGTTCGAGAGCCACCTCAGAGACTTGCTAGCAACATGACCTTGGGCAAGTCACAGTACTTCAGGTTGCCTCAGTTTCCTTATTTCTAAAAGAGGATAATAACAGCACCTGCTTCCTAGGGTGCTCATAAGGATCAAATGTGATGGTGTTTGCAAAGCGCTTGGCTTTTCTAAGGCACCATATAACTGTTAGCTGTTGTCATTATTTGTTTGGCTAATTTTTCCTCAATTCTGCCCTCCTTCCTGAATGGCCATTGTCCTCTCTCCTGGTATTTACTTAGCTTGCTGTTGAACTTACTGTATTTCCACAGCAAAAGACGTTCTTTCGCCTGGCTCAGCTAAGACTGAGGCTCATGATCTGTCACTTCTCAACTCATCTCCTAGATTGGGAGCTCCTTAACATCAGGGACTGTCTGTTGCCTTTCCTTATATCCCCAGAGCTCAGCGCAGTGCCTAGAACATAGTAGGTACTTTATTAATGTTTACTGAATGTCTGCCTGGGCTCAGGTCCCATACAAGGCCCTAACTTCCACCTCAGTCCCTGGAATCTAATCTCCCTCTCTATTGGCCAAGTGTAGGTTCTGGCCCCAGCCCTGATTTCTCTCTTCTTTCACTTCATTACATATAAGGAGTTATCTTTGTCCTGTCTTAATGTGGATGAGAAACCGGAACAAATACTGGAGATCCCAAAGGTTGCTGGGAGACACCAAGGGATCTCTACCTGCCATCTCCCCAAAGTGAGGGTGCCAGCCACCTACATGAATCTGGCCAGTGATTCCCCAAGCAAAGAGACAAAGATTGCACCATAAAGATCAGGAAAGGAACATGGGTTGGTGACTTATGCAAGCCTCAGATATGGATGGCGGTAAGACACCACCTTTGTTCCTACTCACTGCTGCTGAATGGAGAGAAAGAAAATCATGAAACCAGGTCACCTGGATCCACTACAAATTCAGGCAACATAATCTCAGCTGGGCCCCCACTGTGGCAAGGCAATCCTTTGCCAACTCCATGACTCCCTATCCCACCCATCATAGCAGCTTTTCCAAATCTTTTCATTCCTCCCCAGCCTTCCCATATGGCTTGTTCACACCAACCTCAGCTGAGAACTTGGCCTCTTATTTCACTGAAACAGATATTTACCAAGAGCTCTCTTATTTCCTTCCCAACTCACATAAATCAGACACCTTCTTTTCCTCCTTTACCCCACTATCACATGAAGACGGGGCCCTCCTGCTTGACAAGGCAAACTTGCCCCAGTGATCCCATTCCATCATTTCCCTCCGGTCCTCAAAGAACCCTCACTTGATCCATCCATGCCCAGTAGATATTGCCTATATCTCTCTTCCCTTTCATAGCTAAACACCTAGAGATGGCCATCTACACTTGGGGTCTCCAACTCCTTTACTCTTACTTTCTATAAAACTCTGCAGTCTGGCTCCAAATTTCATTCTTTAACTAAAACTCCCTTCTCCAAAGTTACCAGTGATCCCCTAATTATTAAATCAAAAGGCCCTTTTCTTAATCCTCATCCTTCTTGACCTCTCTGCAGCTTCTGACACCATTACTCATCCCCTTTCCTTGATACTTTCTTCTCTCTAGGTTTTGGTGATTCTCCTCTCTTTGGGTTCTCCTCCTGCCATGTCCCAAACTAACCTCTTTATCCTTCCCCCAACTCTCCCACCTTCCTCCTTTCCTAACACCATCCAGGTCACCCCTTCTATTGTCCAGGCTCATAAAAGAGACGTCATCCACTGCTCACCATCTCTCACACTCATACCACCACCTCCCCCGCACCCCATCTTCAATCTTTCGGAAAGTCCTGTTGATTCCACCTCTGTAACATCTCTCACATACAGCCCCGTCTCCCAACACAGCCAGTCTCTAGGTTCAGGCTCCAATTACTTCACCCCTTTGGTATTGGAAAAGCCTGCTGTTTGGTGTCACTGCCTCAAGTCTCTCCCTAGATCAGTCAATGCTCTACCCAGCTGTCAAGTTCTTCTTCCTCAAGCTCCCATCTGACGTCACTGCCTCCTCAATAAACTGCAGAGGCTCCCTAGCACCAGGATGACATACAAAATCCTCTGCTGGGCTCTTAGAGGCCTTCATCATCTGCCCCTCTCCTCCCTTTCCAGTCTTCTTTCATCTTACTCCCCCTCCACATATAATCCAGTAGCAAAGGCCTCCTTTCTATGCCTTGAACAGGACACACCATCTCCAGTCTCCATGGGCTTTCCAGGGCTGCCCCTCATGCCTAGAATGCTCCTCCCGGCTTCTCTGAGGCCCCAGCTCAAGCCTACCCTCCACAGTAAGGCTTTTCCAACCCCCCTTAATCTAAGTGCCTTCCCTCCCTGACTAGCTCCAATCTAACCTGGAGTTGGCATATTTTACATCGTTCTGTCCATGTTGTCTTCCCCACTAGTCTGTGACTTCCTTGAGAGCAGGGGATGCCCCTTGCCTTTCTTTGAATCCCCAGTCCTTGATAAATGCTTGTTGACTTGACAGCCTAGTAAAGACCTTCTATCAGACAGCCTAGACCCTTTCTGGATACCTTCAGGAGAGCTCCATGACCCAAAGTTCCAAACAATGGATGTTACAGACTCATAGTTTTATCAATGGAATAGAAGCAAAAGGTCACAGTGTCCAACCCCTTCATTTCACAGATGGGGAAACTGAGGGTCAGAGGCTCAGTGACTTGCCCAGGATTCCACTGCTAAAAAAAGAATCTTAAGCCAGGTCTTCCTGCCCCCAAGTCTAGCACTCCCCTCACTGTGTAATGCAGCCGCCTCTTGTGATAACAGCCCTCACAGACCTGCTTTCCCCTCACTCACCCGGACAGGAGGTTCTGAGGTCTTCTTGCTCCTGCATCCGTGGTGCTTCCCCTTGTCCAAAATGGGAGATCAAACCTTCTCTGAGAACTGGCAGTCCTGGCCATGGGGAATAAGGAAGGGGTGAGGATGGAGAGACACTCATAATTCAGTTCTCTTTAGGGAAAGGAGGCATGCAGGAAGGGTCACAAGACTACTCAGAGATGGTTTCCATGGTATTTATGGTTAGGAGCTTTGATTGGGGATGGGAAGGAGATCATTTGGAAGCCACTTCAAAATCAGAAAATTCTGTTTTCTCCACTTCCTCCAGAGAAGGATGGGCTGATACCATAGATTCCATTATCTAGAAATTAGGAAGCAGCTGTTATTGCCGTGGAGAAAGCCTGGGGTCTGGATTCAGGAAGCTGTGAGTTCAAATTGGGTCTCAGACAGTCATTAGCTAAATGTTCCAGGTGAGTCACTTAACCTCCGTTTACCTCAGTTTCCTCAACTGTAAAAATGGGCACAATTCCATCCTCTAACTCACAGGCTTGCTGTGAAAATCAAATTGAATAACATTTTTAAAGAAAGCTCTTAGCACAGTGCCTGGCACACAGCAGGTAGACATAAAGGCTTATTCTCTTCCTTTCCTTTCCCACCAGCTGGGCTGGAATTCTGGGGTGGTAAAAAGAGAGAACACTTGCTATACCAGGCTTCTGAGAGCAAGACTAGGAGTTGTGAGCTACAAATCTATGCTGGTTGACAAGAAGAGCATTCCAAAGACCCGACCCAATCCAAGGGGGAAAAGGCTGCTTTGGGAGGTAAGGGCTTCCTTCACTGCTCATCTCCAAGGAAAAGCTGCCTGGGAAGTCTCCAGAAGTCTGGCAGAGAAAATTCAGATTCAGGGAGAGGTTAGACTGGACACAACCTCTAAGATGACTTCCAAGTCTGAGATTCTTCCAACTGGCTTGATCTTTGACCTCAGGCTCCCTAGAACCAGTAAGAGGCAGCTTCAGTGGCAACAAAGGACACCCCTACTCTCTATCCCACACTACAAAGACCTTTTACAGGAAAACCAGGCAGCAGGAGGATCCTGTCTGTAGGACACAAGAAATCAGCACTTTGGCCTTTCTAATCCTTGATAAACGCTAGAAACCCTGCACATTAGGGAAGGAATGAAGGCAGTGACTCTTATAGTGGATTCAGATTTACCAGGGGAAGTGTCCTTACCCAGGGACAGCAGGTTCCGGGTATTCTCCACCATGACCTCCTTGTACAGCTCTTTCTGAGAATGGTTCAAGAGACCCCACTCCTCTGGGGTGAAGTCCACAACCACATCCTTGAATGTCACCAACTCCTAAACCATCAAAAGTCATAGGACTTAGAGGTGAAAGAGACTCCAGAATTCATCTAGTCCAACCCTCATCAATTTACATGAGGAAACAGAAGCACAGAGATGGGATTTTCCCGAAGGCCATACCCTTTGTGAGTGTCAGAGCCAACACTTAAAACCATGGTCATGAAAAGCCCAATGGAATATTGACAATATCAGTTTATATTTGCAGTTGAAATAAAATTGAGAAATGTGTTACTGGGAATTGCTTCTCCTTATAGAATCAAAGAAATTATGTGTTCTATCAGAGATACACGAAGACTTCTGGAGGAGAAAGGGAGAAGGTGATGTGAAATTTCTACCTCATCAGAACAGACGTAAGTGACATGCTACAAAGAAAATTCCACAAAGAGCTGATGAGATACTAGCAAATATTTGGTATTGGGGGGGGGTGATTAAAATGCTTCCTGTGATAACTGAAAAAAGTGAAGAAAAGAAAAGATCTAGTTTGTTTCCTAGGTGTCTGAAATAAAATCTCATCTAGATGAAAACATGAAAAGCATTCTTATCGGTTAGTTAATCAGAATCCGGACTAAATTGAGTCATATGAGATTGTTTCCTGCTATAAGGAGGACAATGGATAGAACACTGGACCTACAGTCAGGAAGACTTGAGTTCAAATGTGATCTCAGACACTTCCTAGCTGTGTGATTCCAGGTAAGTCCCTTAATACTTTTGCCTCAGGTTTCTCATCTATAAAATGAGCTGGAGAAAAAATGGCAAACCACTCTTTACCAAGAAAACCCACTTCAAAAAAGGGGGCTAGGGGCCCACGAAAACTTACACAACATTTAAAAATGACTAAGCAAAACCCAAAATGACTACGCAAAAACTAAACAAAAAACAAAATTGTTGTATTGAGGACTTGAGGTGGCTCTGCAATGATGTATGATAGCCAAGACATCTTATGCCTTTGCTTTATGATCACTTTCATTTCTTAATAGCATATATTCATTAATTTTGAAATTTAGCTATATAGAAATCAGAGTAATCAAGAAGGGGAAAGGAAGTTTCCTTCATTTAACCAAGATGTGGGTTTGATCTAATTCCTGAGGAAGACGTTACCAGCTGCCTCATGAAAAATAAAGGGTCTAAACATGCCCCTCAATCTCTGGGAACTGGGAGAATGAATTGAGGCAGACTGATGAACCACATGGAGGAGGGGCTGACCAGACCTGAAAATATGTCCATCCTTGGGCTAGGTCATTTATTTCTCCAACCTGCTAAATGGAGAACACATTTGGCCAGTGTGCTAGGAATCTGATGGTCTTCGGGGTCATTTTCTTCCATTTCCATTATAGGTATACAACTCACTTTTTTTAGAGTTTCTATTATGTTGGAGCAATTCTCTATCATGTGGATAAAATGCTTTTTACTTTTTCATCATTTTGGTTTGTTCTTTTAAACAACAGATTTCTGATCTATTTGAAATCACATTTCATCTTTAACATCCTATCTTTCTAATATTTCTCTTATGAACAGTTAAGGAACTGATTGATCTCTTTCCACCTTTTCTTCCAACTAGAGCCTCTTAACTCATTGTTTTTCATTTCATAGAATTTATTCACAGGGCCCACACTCTCACTGAAGGAAGGCAGTCCTTTGTCGATTGATAATTAAAATTCCTAACTCACTCCCAACAGAAATTTCCAAACTTCTTTGCCTTCTATTCCAAAGTTTTTTCTCTCTTCCCACATCCATCCTTCACCAGTGTGGGGTGGGGCCATGAACTCCAAACATCCATTTAAGGAGAGGGCTCAGCTCATACCTCTCATTTCTCACCTAGCTGCACTACCTGTGAGATTTATTTGACTGATTCATTCGCCATGCACCAGAGTCTCTTACTGGGATAACCTCATACCCCTGTAATGTCTCATCAGTCATCACTACCCTCTGCCTCTCTGATTAGAGGGTGGGGCCATGGAAACCAAACCTCCATTTAAGGGGAGAGCTCAGCTTAAATACTCCTCATTTCTCACCTGCTACACTCCTTTGGCATTTCTCATTGACTTCACCACACCCCAGGGTCTGGTACCTGCTGCCATCCCTCTCCACTTTTCAGTTTCCTTCTGTATGGTGTCTTCCCACATTAGATCATATGCTCTGTGAGGGCAGGAACTGTCTCTCATCTTAAATTTGAATTTCCAGCCCCTTGGCACCTGACCTGGAACATGGTAGGTGCTTACTATTGATGGACCATTGAAGACCCAATCCTTCTCATTCCAGAACCTGCCCCTTATTTTACCTTAAAAACAGAAGCCCTTCAACCTGAGCTAACTCTGCTCCCAGCCTCCTTTAAATATCGCCAACATGATGTCCAGTAGTATAAACTCACCAGGTCCAGAAGAGAACTTTTTACCTTCCCTCTTACTGTCAAAGGCAACACCATGCTTCCAGCAAACCTAGGCATCATTCTCAACTCCCATTTCTCTCCCCACTTCTCTTATCTGATGCCCAGGTCTGTGGATTGTACCTTGCAACATCTCTCAATCACGCCCTCTTCTCCCCTCTGACACTACAACCACCTTGGTGCAGGTCCTCATCATGTGGCCCTCGGACTGCTGCAGTAGCCTGCTGCTGGGTCAGCCAGCCTCAAGGCTGCCCCCACTCCAATGGGTCCTCCATTTGGTCCACAAAGCAATTTCCCTAAACTGCAGGTCTGATCATGTGACTCCTCTACTCCATAAACTCCAGTGGCTCCCTACCACCTCCAGGATCAAATACAAATTGTCTTGCATTGAAAGCCCATCATGACCTGGACATCGCCTGGTATTCTGGTCTCCTCACACCTGATTTCCTGCCCCCACTCACTGGTCCAATGACCCTGGCCTCCTTGTCACACCAGAAGAAAACATTCCATCTCTCTGGGCAGGGCATTTTCTCTGGCTGTCCTCCATCAAAGGAATCCTCTCCTATCTCTGTCTACTGGCTTTGCAGCAAGTCTTAACTAACACCCCATCTTCTACAGGAAGTGGACTTTGCAATTCCTCTTAATTCTAGTGCCTTCCTTCTTTCAATTATATTCTGTTTATCTGCCAATGGTTTGTTGAGGACACTGAGACCTGGTTCAGATCAGTGAAGCTCCCATCAGGCCTATCACTTTAGCCAAGCATCGGGGAGCTCTTTGTGGCTATCAGTCCCGCCCAGCCTAGGAAGTTCAATCAGCAGCCTGAGCCTTTAGTCCCCTGAGCCAACCAAGCCAGGAGGATGGTCACAATGCATTTTCTTTCTTTTTTTTTATTGATTTATTTTGATTTATCAGCATTCACTTCCATAAGCTTTTGAGTTTTATATTTTTCTCCCCCTCCCTCCCCAAGATGGCACCCAATCTGATACAGGTTATATGTATACATTCCTTTTAAACACATTTTATATTAGTGATGTTGTAAGTAAGAATTAGAACCAATAGGAGGAACCACCAGAAAGAGGAAACAAAACACAACAGAAAGGAAAAAAAGAGCAGATAGTCTGCTTCAGTCTGCATTCAAACTCCATAGTTCCTTCTTTGGATGTGGATAGCATTTTCCATCATGAGGCCTTGGAGATGTCTCAGATCCTTGCATTGCTGAGAAGGGCTAAGTCTATCAGAGCTAGTCATCACACAATGTGGCCGTCACTGTGTGCAATGTTCTCCTGGTTCTGCTCACTTCACTCAGCATCAGTCCATACAAGTCTTTCCAGGTTTTCCTGAAGTCCATTCCCAATGCATTTTCAAGGAAAAAACTATCTAGCTTCTGATGTTTAAGATAAGGGCATCTACATAACAAAGTGCATAGAGCCAGGCTGGCCCTCAAGTCAGGAAGAGCTGAGTTCAAATTTGGCCTCAGAAAATTCCTAGCCATGTGACTCTCAGCGAGTCACTTAACCTATCTTAGCCTCAGTCTCCTTAACCATACAATGGGGACAACAGCAGCAGCCTGTGCCCCAGGGTTGTTGGGAGGACCAAATGAGCTAATATTTGCAGAGCACTTAGCACAGTGCCAGGCACACAGTAGGTGCTATATAAATGCTTATTCTCTTCCCTTCCTTCCACACCCTCCTCTTTGGGTGCCCTGCTTCTTGTCTCTAGTCCCACCCTCCACACTCCTGCCAAAGTCATTTTCCTCAAGTACAGCTCTGACCACGTGACTGTTCTGCTCAGCCAATGTCAATGAATGCCTCTTGTTCTAGGCCCAAACATCAGCCCTCTCCTGAGGCTGGGGAGCCCTGCCCCAGCTGGCCCCAACGTCCCCTTCCAGGATCTTCAGACCCTCCTCAGCCTCCTGTCCTCTGAGATCCTGCCACGTGGGCCTTCTCTGGGATCCTCATCTCCCACTTCTCTTTCTGTGCACTGCTTGGCCCCCTTACCTGGAGCTCCCTCCTTCCCTCCACCTTGGAACATCTCTCTCACCCCTCCAGCACCATCTTCTGCATGAAGCCATGCCTGCTGCCTCCAACTGCTGCTGCCCTCTGGCCACTTTGCATTTATTTGAATTTATTCCCTTTCTATTTATGCCATCTCTACATTGAAGTGTTAGTGTTGTCTCCTCCATTAGAACATAAGCTCGTTTAAATAGGTATAAATTCATTCTTTGTAGCTTTATCTTTTACACCTAGTATGGTGCCTGGCACAGAGTAGGTACTTTAAGAAATTGTTGATTGAGTGGGTCTTTTTCCAGACCTTTCCTTCCTTTTTCGATCTTTATTATTCTGACAAATTGACTTTCTTGGGCTCTGAGCCTAGATCTATAGCCTGTCATTTCCTCCTTCCCACTTTGGTTTCAGTTAAGAGAGGATCAGCAGGGGCAGCTAGGTGGAACAGTGGATAGAGCACCGGCCCAGGAGTCAGGAGGACCTGAGTTCAAATCCGGCCTCAGACACTTGACTCTTAGTAGCTGTGTGACCTTGGGCAAGTCACTTAACCCCAACTGCGTCACACATACAAAAAAGAGAGAGAAACAGATCAAGTGTGAGAACAAGAGAAA